AGATTGTGGAACATACTGTTCTAAGTCAGAATCCTGTCTAACTGAACTAAGGAAAGTTTGTAAGTCTGGAGAATATTTTCTGAGTGACAGTTTCCTACGTTTCTTTGTAGGCTTTACTCCTCAGCCTAAAGTATGGTTGCTTTATGTGGCAGTTGGGAGATGGAGATACATGTTTTCAAATCCACAGTCTGGAAAACAAAATGAGCTTTATTGTGCATACCAAACAGGTAAGCATTGTCATTTTTCATCCTCTATGTTCAATTATTTTTCCTACACTAGATACATGCCTCTTCTCTCTTGAGATTGACCACCCTTGTACAGTATAAAAGAAGCCCAAGCCAAGCCTCCACAAAAATGATCTTAATATTTCTGAATGTTTGCTTGTTTTCCTAGCATATGAAGCCTTTAGGGTTCAAAATACATGAAAAGCATCTGTAATCATTAGGGTAAACTTTTTTTTTTAAATTGAAACCGTTTGTTGCATGTGCCCAATCCCTCAGATTCTAAGGATAATTCCAAATATAGAATCATAGAAGAATCATAGAATCATTAAGGTTGGAAAAGACCTCTAAGATCATCAAGTCCAACCGTTAACCCAACACCACCATGCCCACTAAACCATGTCCCTAAGCGCCTCATCTGCACGTCTTTTAAATACTTCCAGGGATGGTGACTCAACCACTTCCCTGAAATGATGAGAATATGATGAGAATTGCAGAGTTAGAGCTGGTAACTTTGCTATCAAAACTAGCGGAGTTTGAGACTGGATAAAACTGAGGATCTGCGAAGGCAGTGTAATAAAGCAACTTCACTGCAGTTGCTACCAGCAACTTTTGATAGTGTTTATGGATGCTAAAATGTGTTGTGACAAAATTACAGCTTTGAGTATCTTGCATACTTTGACAGTAGTTGCTTTTGATTCTTACATATTAAGGCGGTTACAGGGGAAGTGATTGAATATTTTGAAAAACACTTTCTGATATCTGAGAAAAAATCTAGGTTTTATTTTCCTTATTTCTAAAATGATGCAACTTCTAACTTACTATTTTTATCTACTTGCATTTGTCATATACTTAAGTTAATTGTGTCATAGTTCTGAAATGCTGATAGAATTTAATTGTATACCTTTATATAGGCAGGTCTTGTCATAAAACTTCTGATGAAATTAAATGGACAGTTAATGCCAAGTGAAAGAAATGACTGATGGAAATGAACAATAGTTACAAATCAGCATCTTACGGCTAAGCAAAACCCAACTTATTTCTCATCATAACAGAAGACTTCCATGTACATGAATTTTACACAATAGAAAAGTGAATTTGTACAGTTTTTTAACTTTGTACAGAAGCTGCATGGTTGGTTTTTTTTTTAAATATACAACCTATCTATTCTTTTTATAAATATTTTTGTGTTTCATATATAAGCTATTGTAGGGCTTGAGCTTAACCAATAAAGCTAATGAAAGGTAAATGGTTTACTAAGTTGGACGAGTATGAATCAAATAAGGCTTTTGTTCCCAGGGGACTATGGGACTACCAGTGCCATTAAGCAAGTCTCAGTTAACATATTTACCTTCTGTGTCATTCTGTGGAACATCAAGGAGGTTGTATATATTACAGTATTTTGTAGACACACTTTATTTTTAAGATACTGTTGGTAAGTACGCTTAAAAGACCAGTTAGACCTTTGAGCAACTACTTTTCATAAACTCTTGTTTTTTATTTGGTTTCTGACAAACGATATAGCTGGCTTTATTTTTACTGTTAACTTTCTCATACTTTGTATTCATATTTGTTTTAAAATTTTGCATGAGGATGTCAAAAGGGAAATATTTTAAATCATTCAGAAGCCATATTAAAAGTTTAGCATGCTTGTTTTTAAAAAGAAAAATGGATTTTTACTTCTGCTGTGCAATATAAAATGTGTATATGGAGGAGGGGGAGATACAGATTTACAAATGAATCTTACTCAGCGGATTCAGTCAGTTTAATAAATCTTACCCTGGATTGCAGTAATGAAAACTCATATAGGACGTACTAAGTTATTTCTGTTAAACTAATTTTCCTACTCATGACTTCAATTTCTTGAGGCTACAAGCAGTGCAGGATGCAGGATGCAGGAATGAAGATTTATAATGTAAGAAACTCAGACACATTTTGTAAGCATTATGCCTGCTCTTTGCAGAGTTAGGACTGGGTCTGAACAAGTTGGGTCCCAAGTGTAAGGTGGGACCCTATGCAGTCTGAAACATATCCTTGTACATTAAAATAGTATCCATAACACAAATCTTTAAAATTTCAGGTTGTATTTCAGGGTTTTAAGTGCACTTGACCGTTTCTTCCATGTAAACTGCATGCTAAAACAGTGTGCAATATTTTGTAAAAAAGTTTTAAGAAAAAATAAAAATCAGCACTTGCCTCTAAGTTTTCAAATAAAAGTTAAAATGAATGTTAGGAACTGTGCTGTTGTGTAGTAACTTTACTCATACCTTACTACTAGTAAGTGCAGTTTAAGAAATTAAAGTAGTAAGCAGTTAAAAAAAGTGAACAGGAGACTTGTATTTTGTAATCTTAGCAAGCTATATTTTTCTACTTAAACTTCACTGGCATAAATAACAGTAAATCTTCATGGATTGTTGTATTTTATTTAAGGTAAATAATGCAACAGCCAGGTCTTTCATAGTGCATCCTTGCTATCACTTGGCACTGGTATCAGAAATACACTTCTCTACATCGCACTTTGTTAGAAAACTAGAGGAAAAATGTTAAAATGTGTGTCAGTCACATATTTAACAATAGTGTTAATATGCCTTACTGCTGTATAGTTCTTTCTGCCAAATTCTTATTTATTACTACCTAATAAATTGTTTGCAACAAGTCATGTTTGTTGTTTTTATTATTGCAAAGTTTTATTATTATGTTGTTTTTATTATTGAAAGTGCCATCAAATGTCTTACCAAGCAGGTGTTATTTCCAAAGACCAGTACTTTGTAACAGGCTCATCTTTGCAAGGTATGAAGGAAGATCATCAGAGAGAATCATAGGGAGGGTTCCCATGGTGACTACAGATTAAGGTAGTGCACCTTGGAAACCACTCAGGAATTCATCAGGAAAACTGGAAACTGTTAGTCATGGCAAACTAGAAGTTTGCAGATGTTGCGTGTCAGCGGAGTCGTTAAGTAGTGAAAGCCCAGTTACCCAGTCCTACAGGCTTCTGGCACCTGGGTATGTAGGAGCTCCCACTGTGTTGCTGTGACAAGGAACGTGAGTACAATCTTTTCATCATCAAAAGTGGGGAAATGTAAAATCAGAAGAGAGAGAAATACATCACTGTAGAGACAGACCACTAGTAACAATCCTCCTATCTGTACCAAACAAAAAAAAAAAAGGAAACGAGCTGCAAGAATGGCAAGTCTGAAAACTATGGCTCTGTAAGCAAGAGATGCTCAGCTCAACTCCTGTAGCTTATCTAACAACTGCTTTTTTAAAGTGAGTAACTGTATAGCAGATGAAGCAAAGATTTGAGAGTAGAATACTCCAGCCAGGCACAGTAAGGCAAAAGAGTCACTGAAAACTTAAAACTGTGAAAAACAGGCACAATTTTATCAAGCGGAATAATTAATCATCAGGCTAGCGTGCTGACCTGAGGATTGTTCACCCCTACGTGCAGGCCTCACTACGAGCAAGAAGTGGACCCATCTCGTTTGGGTGCCTTTTGCTGTGGTGAAGCCAACCTGCATGACTTGAGGTTGACCGACAGGCCCAACTCAAATCACCCGCAGATCGGTCTCCGGCCTTAAATTCACAGACTCTATGACGGCTCCAGCTTCGTGCCCTGATGCTGTGCCTGACAGTATAAATCTGCCTATAAGGGGAGAGGAAAAGACCAACTAATACTTTTGGTTGTCAACTGGCAGTCAAGTGAAGTTGGGAAAATACTGTTTATGATGACACATCACTAGTGCAAGAGAACAAAAGTTTAACATAGTAAATTTAAAGTTCAAAGCAGGAAGAACGTGCAAACAGAGCTCTAGAGAAGTGTGGAACGTCTGCTCAGCTGAGCAGTGTCTGTTGTCTGAGACAGGTCGGGCTATTCTATGAAATGTCAAGCAACAAATTGCACATTTGTGATGTATGTTTTGTGATCTATAGTATGTTGTCTGGAAAAACAAGGTATTAAAGTAGCAAGCACTGTAGTAAAGTAATCCCTTTTTGGGGGTAAAGAGAGAAGTGAGAAAGTTCACAAATGCGGAAGAAGTCTAGATTTTTATCAAGATCTCTTACAATTGCTAGCTCAGTCTACTAATGTTAAAACATATTATTCCATACAGATTTCACACTTACAGTTTGATTTCTTAAAAAATACTGGTAAGAATCAATTTGCAACCCAGAAAAAGGAACAATGTCTCTGGAGAAGGAAGAAGATGAAATTCCAAGTGGTCTAAATACAAAAGGACTAAACAAAAGCCTTCATGAGATTCCAGTTAATGATGCCAGGAAAGACTAATTACATTCATCAGAGAATCCTAAAGTAGCCAACCTAACTACGAAAAGTTTGAGTGATACTTCACATGAAATTCCTAAAGCAGCTGGCAATGAGGAAAGCCATAAAATGATGGAAAATAGATCAAGAAGTGATTTACCTGAAAAAAGGTATGAATGTGAATTCTCAGCTGAGATAATGCTGCTACAATGCCTCGAGGTGTCTCTGAAACAGGTGTGAGAAAACACTACTACCACCAGCTGAAAAGGATACTGGAGAACTAAACCAAATCCTTTCAGAAGCTGTCAGTGAGATGCCAGACCAGACATGTTACCATCAGCAATGAATCTTGAAAGTGATGAAAATGGATCAACATATATGTTGCCTGAAGAAAAAGATGAGAATTTTACACTAGACTAAATGATAAAGGACTAGGGAACATGCCTCCGTGTGGTTTTGAAACCCAAAATTTAAAATACTTGCTCTTACACAACAATGAAATAAAAACATTGCATTCAAATATCGTTAATCTAACTAATCTGGAAATCCTGTTACTTGAAAGAAATAGACTGACACTGTTGCCACCAGAAATATCCTTACTTCATAAACTGACAGGACTGGATGTCAGCCACAACCAGTTACCATGTCTCCGTATAGAATTGTCAAAGCTTCTAAATATTAAGGAACTTAATCACAACAATATTGAAACATTTCCTTTTGCATTGAAAAAACTTGAAACTTTAGAGCTTGCAAAGAACAAGCTAAAAACTTTGCCAGATACCATGGCTGACATGAAAAATTTAAGGTACTCAACATTGATTCCAATCAAATCTCAGTATTTCCAAGGGTTCTCTGCTACCTTCCTCACCTAGTAATCTCTGCTACCTTCCTGATCTCAGCATATGTGAGAACTTGATTCAGGGTTCACCAAAGGATATTAAAGAGCTTAAGAAACAACAAGAATTTTCAATTAGTAACAATAAGTTTATATTTTTGCCTGTGCAGCTTTTCTGGTTGACAAAACTAAAAGAACTCAGGGTTGATGATAACAAATTGCAGTTTCTTTCAGATAAAGTGGAGAATTTACGAGAACTTAGGTTTTTGAACCTTGCAAAAAATCTATTCAAAAGCATTACAGATAATCTTTGCAACTGTACCATGTTGACGCATCTCATTATACATAATAATCAATTAACCCATCTTCCTGCTAATATTCCCAGACTTAAACATTTCAAGGAGTTTTCTTTAAGTAGAAACCGACTGGACTCACTGGATGAAGAAATACTACATTTAAAAGACCTCTCCAAAATAGAGTTTTCTGGAAACACATTAACACATTTTAATTCCTGTTGAATTAAAAAATTGTATACGGATAACCAAAGCTGACCTCAGCATTAATAAGCTCTCTCAGCTTCCAAATGCATTGTGGGCACTATTTGATCTTAAATCCTTAAATCTTAGTGGCAAGATCTTCTGTTTCAGAAATAATACCTGGAATTTCTGACATTAAAGATTCGGAGCATCTAGAGTCACACAAAAATAAACTTCCTCATTTTCTGCATGCTTGTGTAGCCTAACAAAACTAGTTTACTTGGATGTAAGTGAGAATGAAATCGATAGCACGCCGGCAGCGGTGTCCGAGGTGAAGGCTCTCCAGGTACTGCTGTTACACCGTAAGAAGTTTGACTCATTTCCCGAAGAACTGTTTTCTTTGAAGTGTTTAAAAACACTTGATATTTCAAATAATCAGGTAAAGAGTATTCCTTTCCAGATTAGCAATCTGGAAGTGATCAAAGGCCTAAATGTATCAAACAACCAGTTTCCATCTTTTCCTCCTGAAATAAGTCATCTTTCTTCACTGGAGACCTGGACAGTGTGTTGAATGAATGGGTTGAAGGTAAGAGAACATTTGCTTTAGGTAAGAAAAACTTGCGTTGCACAGATTGTTGTGCTGCAAAATTATTATTAACGGACTCTCTCCTAACAGATGTAAATGCTCCTGTGTTTGAATACACCTAGAGGAAACAAAGAGCAGAAAAATAGTTTCTAGAGAGGCAAATACGTGCACAAATTTACCTATTTTTAATATCGCAGCTGGACAAAAATCTATTGGGATGCACTTTTAATTAGAAATACTAGACATGAACCTCACTTTATGTAGTGTTATTGAGGTATATCTTGAGGTGATATTTTGATAATCAGATTGATCTGAAACAGATCATCTGGTTTTTATTTTTCTAGTACTATTAGGAATGTAGGTATTTGCCATCCCAATGGATATCAAGAGACAAAACAACTAGCTGGAATGTGGTAGATAAGCCTGCCTCCAAGATTCCTCTCTGAAATGAACAAATCCTTCCAACTCCTGTCATACTTCTTAAAATTCATTGGTCATTAAACTTTCACTGATTCAAACAAGAAAAGCTATATTGGATCCCTGATTTCTTATAGCAGAGAAAATTGCTTCACATTTCTAGAATCCACAGTTCGATTTTTTTTTTTTTTAAATACTAAGGAACAGGGCAAAACAATCTCCTGATGAGTTAGGCATTTAAATCTCTCTTTTCACCAGAATTTGCAAAATCAGTATTTCATACCTGATTTCAGAAAAGGCGCATATTTCTTTAGATGATTTCCGATGTGGTTATGATCCTTTCCAAGGGCTGGCTTTCTTCAGACCAGGAGCAAAAAGTATACGATCTTATGTCCATTTCTCAGAGCGCTGTAGCTTTAGTTTCCACAATAATTGGAGAACAGTTGAAGTTCGAAGAAGGAAAATAAAAATTAGAAAAGACGAAAGTAAGTACAGAACCAAAAAGAAGAAAAATGCATGTTTCATTTCCTTGTGGCTGAGGAAAACAGAAAATAAAATTAGAGTGTTCTGAGAGGGTAAAATTTTTCATTAATGATAACAATGACCAAAAGAACTTCTCCTAAAGCTCCAGCTGTGGAGGTATCATTCTACTGCATGTTTTTTAGTGCCTTTCTATTATCATGTCTAAAAAGCTTCCCTGCAAATTTTTGTGCTCAGCATCCATATTTTTATTGGAAAATACCAAGTTAGCTTCCATTAGAATCGAAGGTCAGAAGCTTTTATTGTTGGAAGTAAATTATGGAATATGGGTTATTTTGCCTGCAGGAAAGTTACCTCTTAAACTTTTTGCAGAAGAGAAGGACTTGTGTCTAAATAAATGGTTTTATTTCTTTATCAGTTAACTGAAGTTCCAGAGGAGCTTCCTGAACTGGTTTGCCTCAGGGAACTGGACATATCTCACAATGCATTAAAGGAAATTGCAGACAGCATAGGGGAACGGGAGTATGAGGTCCGTTTAATTGCAAATAATAATGGTATCAGCCAGCTCTCCAAATCTATTACATCACTGAGAAATCTACAGCAACTTGGCCCGAGCAGTGAGTATCAGGCATTCACTCCATTAGTAAAATGTAAGCATTGAACTATGCCCCCGAAGAGTATAAATGCATCACAAGATAAGAAGGTGATGAAGCAAACAACCGAGAAGACGACAGCTTTCCAGTTTTTAATGTATGCTGCTGTGAACTGCCGTGGCTTCTAACCAAGCATCCCCTCTCAAATTTAGTATTTTTAATACAGCTGTTGTAGAGGCCCCATCTGTGAAATCTTTTTACGTGGCATGATTTTTGCAGGTGTGATCATCGGGAACTAAAGGCCTGACGCCTAGAAAGCGTGGATGGCTACGGCACGGGCTGGGCTGGGCCCTGCCGTTTACAAGACCGACCTTTTTCTGCTGCACCGAACGCGTGTCTGTCTGCTCAGCTGCCCGAGTGACACTGCTGGTGTGACACCGCCTGTTGTCCAGGGGAGTCACCCGCTGTGGATTACCACAGGTGGGTTGTCCCGGGTGGATTCTCTGGTGTGGGTTATCCAGGATGGGTTAGCTCGCATGGATTATCGCGGGTGGGTCATCCCGTGTGGGTTTTCTGGCATGGGTTATCCTGGGTGGGTCATTCTGGCATAGGTTCTCCCAGGTGGGTTACCCTGTGTGGGTCATCCTGGTGTGGGTTATCCCGGGTCGGTTGTCTTTGTCTGGCGTGGGTCAGTTACCCGGTGTGGGTCATCCCAGGTGGATTACCTGCTGTGGATTATCCCAGGTGGGTTATCTGGTATGGATTATCCCAGGTGGGTTCCCTGGTGTGGGTTATCCCAGGCAGGCCCCCTGGTGCAGGTCATCCCCACGCGTCCCCCCATGTGTTTCTCCACACGTTTCACACCCACACACCCTAACGCAAATTCACACCACCCAAGTTTCTCCCCACAAGTGTTTATCCCACGCAAGTTCATACCCATGCGTGTTTCTGCCACAGGACTTCATACCCACTGAGTTTACCCCCACATGAAGTCACACCCTTGCATGTTTCTCAGTGCTCCAGTTCACCCTCACGTGAGTTCATTCCCACG